CTCGGTTGAAGCGCTTGGACCACCGTCGTGATACTCAAACGGTAAATTTGGGCCCACACCTGATGATTTTTTAGACAGTTGCTTGGAATTAACACTGTGCTTGAGACTGATACAAAACAACACTAAACATGCCGGAAATACCTCCTCAAGCAGCTGAAGACCCATTCAACGCTTTTCTTTGTATCATCCCTTTCCCAAATAAATCGCCAGCGGATCATGCGTAGTGCCTTCGAACTACGGATCCTTCCACATATTTGGCTATGAGCTTGTGATACCAGTCAGATTTGCGCTCATTACTTGCAATACTTAGTAGTCATCCAATGAGTACCACAATATTGTTCAGAATACGAACATGCTCATCTTTCTCGTTCTTGTGCACTTGCGGACAGAATGTTTTATTTCACGTCGACGGAATCGTTCCAAGATTTATCCGCGTTCTAGACTGGCTACACTCACCTTGGCTCAGAGTCCCTAGCTTCCTGGAAGAAACTGCGTCATGATCCCCTCCCCCATAACTGGAATAGACCCGAACATTGTCCTATGACAAGGTCTCAATCTTACGAGCACCCAGTTACATCGGTAGAACAGAAGCCCTCACTGCACACCATAATAAAACAGCTCTAGCAGCCTCGCTCTCATGTCCATCGTCGTGTACGTGTGATTACGCGATTGCAGAAATTATTTTGTACAGTATGCGAGTGCGAGCATGGTGTTCGTGAATGGAATTTCCTGATTTTCAATGCGACGCAGTCAAACTGGAGCGTGCTTTTTTACATTTTGTGCTTGTACGGCTTCCACATCTGTGTAATTCTCCTGCGATGCGAGCTTCTTGCCTTGTCTTTATTTTTGGACTGGTTCTTTGTACTTTCGCTCAAGAGAAGAAGATCGACAAACTTCAAATTGGCATTAAGAAAAGAGCAGAGTCATGCGAGATCAAGTCGAGGTATTTTTTGAATGCTTGAACAGTATAGAGCAGTGTGCAGTTCGGGTGTTATATATCTGGAATATATAGTTTTTAATCTTGCATTATTTATAGGAAGGGAGATGTATTGCATATGCACTATACCGGCACGCTTCTCGATGGAACTGAGTTCGATTCAAGCCGAACTCGTAACCAGGAATTCACGTTTACACTGGGAATGGGACAGGTTTGTTGAATGCATTTCTATTGCAATATTGTTCTGTAATTCCGCTCAAGTTGGGTTACATTGAAAGGGCGGTGGATGATCCTCAAAAAATGGAGTAGAAGTGTAAGATGTGAATGCAACGAAGCAGAAGGCCAGAAAGAGCTTCTAGTGAATGCACTCCAAGAACCAAGTTTGAGCATCCCCGTCGCCAGCATTCGTGAAAGACGTCCGTGGGCAATTCGAACGCGTAGCAGCCTTTTCGAGTTTTCGAATTTCTAATCAAAACGAAAGCAATACTTCAGTTCTTTTCACTATTATCGTGGATAATGAGTCTCAAGCCAGTGATTTATGGCTGAAATAGAATCATGATTTTTCCGCGCAAGATTCCTTTAAGGATGCCATTGTCCCACACGGCGGTCATAGTGGACCCACCGGTGGGTGCCATTCTCGCTAAGGGGTTAAAACATTGCGTACCGCGGCGTTTTTTGGCTGGCCGGCGCATTGGCCGGCGCCTATTTAGACCCCCGCCGCGTGCTGAGCGATCCAAATAAAACTTTCATTCATATTTCGTGTTGTTGTTTCTATGCCATACAGGTTGTTAGGTGGAGTAGATTTATTGGGGCGACGTTTCGAACAATTCGTCGTCTTCAGGACCTTACTGCTACTCCACCAGCACCACGCAGCTAGCAATTCTCAGTAAGATATGAATAATTCTCAGTAGATCTTCATATCTACTGAGAATTGGCTGGCTGCGTGGCGCTGGTGGAGTAGCAGTAAGGTCCTGAAGACGACGAATTGTTCGAAACGTCGACCGAATAAATCTATTCCACCGTAACAACCTGTATGGCATAGCAACAACAACACGGAATATACAACATGCCCAGGTTTCAAGAAGACCGAACAAGGAATCTACTTTCATTTATATTAGTAACATTTATTGTATATGCAAAGTACATATATTTTATACATTTGCAATATGTTACGTTTATTTTTGTTCAGTGGAATCGATTATTATCGATGATCAAAATAAACGTATACAGTATAACGTAGGTATAGGGAATAAGGTAACCGAAAGTGCGACCGAATCAAAAATGTATTTTGAAGAATACATGTAAGAGAAAAGGGATAAAAGTGATGAAAACCTAGTCGTTTTGATTGTTTTATATGCTCGAACTTGTCATACAGCCGCTCTTCCACTTTTACTACAAATTGGTGAAAAATTGAGAGAGTGTGACTAGAATTCTTCACAACGAATACCAGTAATTCAGGAATTCGTTCGCATTGCGCAGTCCCACGTCTGCATGTTGTTCTCCGGTTTCAGGCCTTCACTCCTATATAATTGAGCACGAGAAAGTGTCGAAAATATCCTTTGAAATCTCTTGCTCAACCATGTGCAGCACTCGGTACGCAATGGGTTACCATCTTTTTTTGCGCAAAAAGCACTATGGCATCCCAGTAATTACGGTCAATCTTCATACCATCGACGTTTAGCATTTAGTGTCTAAAGAAATATCCAATAATAGCTAATTTATGTAAAATTTAAGAGTGTGGCATGTCGCCATGTCGCCGGCATGCTAACTGAGTTCTTTCTTTTTTGAGTATTAGGTAGAAAATCAATTTCTCATCAAAGCTTCCTCGTCTTTCCATAGACTGCAGGAATAGGGAGGGGTTTGTAAATTTTTCTGTACACATAAAATTCCTGAGTTTCAGGTTTTTTCTGGTTCTTTACTGTAACACCCTAGTTCTCCCTCACAACAGCCAGATCTCTTTACAGCAGTTTATAATGTGAAAGTTTGATGGTATTTTTGGTGTATTACTTAAGTCGAAAAACCCTATTGAAAAACTGTGGCGGGAACTTTTGACTAATGCTGAGCGAGAGATGGGCGCGTGAAGCGTGGTCCCTCAAGCCCGGTATGTGGAAATCGGCATCGTTATCAAGGGGTTAATGAGAGCTTGAGATGATCATGCCATCAGGTAATGTTATGCACGAGGTGACGTAAGTCATCACGATTGGTGACTTGAGGACGCACGTCCTACGTACAGTTTGCAAGCTTTGATAGCAGTCACTAGCTTTTCCTAGTTATTTTTCTTGAACGTTGGTCCAATGAGGTGACAATGCCAACCTGAAGCCTTCCATAGAAGCCCCGAAGGAAAGAAACAATAACTCTCAATCTATGTCAAGTCTAACCTAAGATCGATAAAAGCATCAGTGAAATCAAGAAGGAAAACGTCCTTAAAACCGTTTCAAAAGAGCCTTTCACAAAAACGAACATCGGCAAATTAATTAGAAAACTTACCCGTTAGCGATGAGCCAGTCGACAAAATGCGAAGAGAGCGGGCCCGGTGGACCAAATTTCTGCGACAGGACGGCAGTTGAGAGAAAGCATAAGGATATTAATGGCCTGGAAAGGTCAGATTATTCCAAAGTTCTCAACAAGAGAATCTAAAAACATTGAAATATTCCTAGGCAGAATCAATTTGAAAGACAAAAATGAGAACGCTTCAAGAGTTCAACGCTATTGAGGTGTTTTAAACATTTCATCCGAACTCTGCTGACAGTGAACCCTGAACAATTATTTGGCATTGTTCCGTCTTCTTTTCCTACCTGTGAATCCTGCTCTTGGAGGTGCAGTGCAACACCCCCAGTCGTTCCCTTCCATTTCCCTTCTCTTTCCTACCTTTACTCTTTGTTGCCTTCTCATTTGATAAAACCTTTCAGTTTTTTAAAGAGATCCTCATTTGAACTTCGATGAGACACAAAAAATGTTTAAAAAAAAAAAAAAAAAAAATGTGAGGAATAGAACAGTAACGGTTAGCTCCGGAGCGGATTCGCCATTTCATCTCGGACTCATAATGGTTCAGTGTGAGAATCTACCCACACATGAGTTCATTCGCTTGGAGACTGACCATGAGACTTTTGAAACCTTGAAGGATGAAAAGGATGAAGCATTTGACGTTGACCAATCCTGCTTTGGAGTGCACCACACCAATGCAGTTACTTCTATTCATTAATCGTAGTGAAAATTTGATTGCGATTTAGCCTACAAAATGCCTTACGGAGCCTTCCTGAAGTAAAGTAGGTGCTTTCATCTTCCCAGATAATCCTGGTGCCAACTAGCCGATACTGGAGGGATGAAAAGTATAGCTAGGCCTACGACGTGCGATCCAGGACTTGATCCCCGGACCGCACGCGTGGTAAGCAGCGTGACTTGCCACCAATTCCGCCTTTTTGAAACGTGAAAGGTAATGTTGTGAGCCCAACGGTGGAGAGGTTTTGGTTTTCTGAAACGTCTTCCTCAATGGAGACGTGAGCAAAAAACGCTGAATCTGAATTGAAGCAGCCATCACTCACTATCAAAAAGCCTGATTCTCTGAAAAAATTGCTTTAATTGCTGATTCCAAATTCTGATGATCACTGGCAAATTTTTCTTCGATTTTTTTTTTTTTTTTTTTTTTTTTTTTTTTTTTTTTTTTTTTTTTTTTTTTTTTTTTTTTTTTTTTTTTTTTTTTTTTTTTTTTTTTTTTTTTTTTTTTTTTTTTTTTTTTTTTTTTTTTTTTTTTTTTTTTTTTTTTTTTTTTTTTTTTTTTTTTTTTTTTTTTTTTTTTTTTTTTTTTTTTTGTTTTTTT